CTGCCACCTTTGAAGTGTTGGGGCTTCCATCAGGAATGAGGGCGTGCGCCTGTACCTCCTGGAACCTCCCTTCCCATCTCCAGCAGACGGATTTGGGGAGGTGGAGAGGGATAGCCCAGAGCAGCGCAAGGACCTGCTGAGTGGGCTTTGGGAAGCTGGGCAAGCACTGCTGGCTCTACTGCTGGAGAGGTAATTGGAAAAGGAGGCGGGATGAGTTCTGAGACAGCTCTGGGTACCTTCCAGGAATCCTTGACTTTCTTTCATGGCACTGGATGTGATTGTGTGCCGAGAGAACAAATCTGATGAAAGCAGAAAATAAGCTGATATAATACATTTGCTAGACAAGAGGAATTATGGCTGGGCCCTGGAGCCAAGGAGCATGGAGAGAGGGGCAAGTTGAGAACAAACAGCGGTAGGTGTTGTGGGGCACAGCCAGTCAGAGATGGAGGGCTGCTCTAAAAGTCAGGAGACCTGGATTCCAGTCTGGGCTCTGAAGTCAGCTCCCTCTGTTCCCTTTGACCAGAGGCCTCCCCTCTCGAGTACCTGCGTGCTCCTTTCTCCAGGGAAGCATGCTCACTCAGTGACCCTGGACGCCTCCTTGAGCTCAGTTTCTGTGTAGTATACAGTAGAGCATCACAGGAGTTGCATGGCTGAAAAAAACCCATCATGTTGCCACGTCTGAACCAGGGGACTTAATTATAGAACAAAGTAATGAAAACATGAGAATTCCAAGGGCCTTTGAGATGATTCCTGTCAGTGGAATAGGACAGAAAAAAATCCACAGTAGGCCAAGGGTTTTATTTAGGGATAAGGGACATCTCCACAGAATGTTCTTTGTTCCCATTTGGTGAGAGCTTCCTGGGATGGCAAATTGCCTTAGATAGTGTGGCTTCCTTTATAAGGGCAGAGGCAAGGCACCTCTGCCCGTCCTGGCAGCAGACTCTAGTCACAGGAAAAATTCCCAAGTGTCCCTGGGGCTACAACCTTGAAAAAAATTATACCATTGGAGTTACTGATTTTGTTTTCAATTTCCTACCTTTTTTTAAAAAACTCTTTTACTTCCAGATTTTTCTGTAAACCAAGGTAGTTCTAGTCTAACTCTCACAGAGACCAACTATTCAAACTGGGCCCCAGTGGAGGTTGGCCTCTCAGATGAAGGGATCTCTGGAGCCTTTGGCAGAGAAGGCTGCCAGAGAAACTGACATGGGGGGGCCGAGTCCCTAATAGGGCCTGCATTGCTTAGAACCTGCCAAACTTTGTCTACGTCCATTATGCATTCCCCTCCTGCTGATCCTTGGTCAAGACATTATCCCAATATGTCCTCCTGACTTTAACTCCAGAAGTCATCCAGGGCCTCCCTACTTCATTGTCGCTAACCTCATTGTTACCCTCAAGTACCTTTCTTTGCCAGGTCTTCAAAGAGGAAAAAGAAAAATGCTAAGGAGCCAGCCTCCGAGGTGGCCTCCAACTTAGTTTCTAATGGTCTCCACCTCTTGTTACTTACACATTTGTGTTGTTGTTTTTCGTGGTGAATAGTTTATAATAGAAGAGATGGGGGAGTCAGCTAGCGTGTGGTGAGGTCCCTCAGGCAGTCTCCAGCTACACTCGCATGACTAAAGGGCCCAGCCCCTTGTGAGAATCCAACCTTGTGAGTGAGCTTGGAGATGGATCCTCCTCCTGCTTCCACCTTCAGGTGAGACTGCAGCCCCAGCTGACAGCTTGACTCCAATGTCACGACAGACCCTGATCCTGGAGCCCCCTGACACACAGAGACTCTATGAGATACTTCATGTTTGTTTTTGTAAGGTGCTAAGTTTGGGGGTTATTTGTTATACAGCAACAGGTAACTAATACAGTCTATGCTTTGTTTTTGATTTTTGAGTGGAGATATATAGCGTCAAGAAGCCATTTTCTATGTGAAATGACAAATCGACATTTGTGCCAGTCTCTTTTCTAAGTCCCTAGATCCCTAAACCAATTTAATAGTAAAAAGTGCCTGGGCTGCTGGTTAAACACCTAGATTACTAGGCCTGTTTCTCTGGGTTTGGGGTGGGACCAAAGAATCAGTACATTTAATGAGCACCCCAGATAATTCTTACCATTGGGTGAGTTTGAGAAATATTACAGAAGAGAATTAAAAAATGAATGAAACATAGCTCTTCCTCCAGCAATAGGGCAAGATGGAAAAGAAATCGGTACACAAAAATGCATTTAAATTGAGGCCCCAAATGGTAAGGAAAGGTGTGAAAAGCACTGAGGGAATCAAGGAATATTTTCTGGAAGAAATGACACCATGAACAAGATCTCAAAGGTTGGTTAATATTTTATGAAGCAAGATATGGAAAGAATCACAGAGTGATAGTAACAGCTGGTATGTATCAGGTACCCACTAAGCACTAGGCATTGGGCCAAGCATTTTACCTGTCTTACCTTGTTTAGTCCTCATAGCAACTTTATACAGTAGGAGCTACTGTCATCTGGAATTTAGAAGTGGGAAAGCTAGGCTGTGTTTACCATACTGCCCAAGGTTATGCAGCTCCTGTTGCAGAATCAGCTAGAAAAGAGGCAGCTGAGTCTGTATGCTACGCTCTTAACCTCTATCCTGTTCCTTGTCTTAGTGCACATGAGACTCAGAGATGTGAAAGGGCTGTGGCATTTTTTGCAAATGCCAGAAGTCTTGTGCCAATGGCAGGACGAGGTGTCCAGGGAAGGATATGGACCCAGGCAAGATACTACGTGAGGTGTTAGAACATGGCAGTGACTTAGTGCAAGTCAAATCATTCATTTCATAAATTAGGAAGTGTGCCCTAGAAATGTTACATGACTCGCCTCGAGTCACACAGTTGATAGTGGCAAAGCAGACTGAATGTTGAGATCCCAGGCAGCCCCCATTCCACTGCGGATCATTGGAGGCCAAATGGGGATTGGCCTTGGATGCCTTCCTAAGGAGGTCTGCGCTGTTCTAGCTCATTTTAATGATTTCAAGTGCACCGTGTAGTGACATCAGTGCATTCACAGTGTCATGCAACCGTCATCACTATTCATTTCCAGAACCTTTTCGTCATCCGGAACAGAAACTCTGTGTGCATTAGACACTCATTGCCCAGGTCTCCTCTCCTGGCACACGTCATCCTCCTTTTTGACTCTGCGTACATCATATTTGTGCAATCACCTATTTGTCCTTTTGTGTCTGGCTTATTTCACTTAACATGATGTTTTCAAGATTCACACACATTCTAGCAGGTACCGATACACATACTATTTACAGTGTTAACCACTTTTAAGAGTGTAGTTCAGCGAGTTCAGTACCTTCGCATAGTGTGCAGTCGTCACCACCATCCATCTCCAGAACTCTTTTCATCCTGCGCAGTTTAGACGAGGTGCCCATTAAACAGTAGCTCCGCCTTCCCTTCTCCCGCCAGCCCCTGCCTGCCAGCTGGCGTTCTAGCTCTGTCTCTATGAGTGTGACTACTCTAGGCCTCATACAGTATCTTCTGCATGTGACTGACTTGATTCACTTAACGCAAGGTCCGCAAGGGTCCTCTGTATTATAGCATATGTCGGAATTTCTTCTTCAAGCCTGAATAACATTCCACTGCATATATATGCTCCATTTGGTTTATCCATTTATCTATTGATAGACATCTGGGTTGCTTCCACCTTTTGGCTATGATGAATAATGCTGTTTGGACATAAGTGGACAAATATCTCTTTGAGACCCTGCTGTCAATTATGTTGGCGTATATGCCTCAGTGAAGTTTCTGGATCATGTGGTGATTCTATTTTTTAAATTTCTGAGGAAGCGTCACACTGCCTTTAGCAGTGGCTGTGTTATTCTACGTCCCCATCACCAGTGCACAAGGGTTTTCATTTTCTCCACGTTCTCACCAACACTTGTTATACCTCTTTCTTTTATAAGAATGAGAAATATCCTACTGTATGTATACACCACGTTTTTAAAATTCCATTCATCCGTTGATGGAGATCTGGCTTGTCATCTTATTGCAGTTTTGAATAACGTTGCTGTGAACACCGGTGTAAAGTATCTTAGTCCCCGGGGTTCGGTTTTCTTCGAAGGGGAGCTGTTGAACCCTAGAGTGAGTCCTACCTGCCTTCGGGAGAAGCCCGCCTTTTGGAGCAGATCTGCGCCCTGCGAGTCGGCCGGTCACCGCGGCCTTTCCGCGCGCGGACGCCCCGTGGGTGGGGGCACTCTCGTCCCTCCTTCCGGCCGCGCGCCGCCCACTTCCCCCACTTCGCTCGCTGCTCGGGGCACGGCCGCTCTCCGCGGGCTTCTCTTACACCGAGGGACTGGCGGCTGAGATGAAGCCGAGCCCGGTGTCCAGTCCGCTCGCCCCGAGCAGCGAGGTTTGGGCGGGTCCCAGCGGGTCCTGCGCGGGCGGGGTTTCGGGCGGGAGCGGAGGCTCCTCCCGGTTCTTTGAACCCTCCCGGGCCAGGCGGCCGTTCCCGGCCGCTCCGGCGGAGGCGCTGGGAGGCACCAGGTGAGCCAGCCGTGGAGTCCCGGGCCCTGGGCAGGCACGGCCCTGCCCGCCGGGCACCTCGGGCGCGCAGAATCCGCGCCAAGCCCTGCTCGGAGCTCCGGGGGCCTCGTTCCTGCCCGAGGCGGCGGTTCGGGAGACTGAGTCCCGGGAACGCGCGCAGCCCTCCCGGCCCGGCTCCCTCCGGCGCGTCCCAACCGGGAGCTGCCCGCGGACCGCACCCGGGTCCCCGGTCCCGTGCGAAGACTCCCAGGTGCCCCGGCGTCGAGCCCGGACCCCAGCACGCCTTCCGGGGCCAGCAGCGCGTGCCCTGGGTGTCCCTCGGCCACCGCCGGGGAGACGGCGAGTGCGAGGCGGGCGCGGGACTGGGGTGGCCTAGCGGGTCCGCCCTTCCTCGGATCTGCGGCTGCTGCGAGGGGCGCAGCTCCCGCCAGAGCCGGGAAACAGTCCCGAGAAGAGAAGGAAGGAAAAAGGGACCTGTCCTCTTCCTGAGGGTTTGTAACAGAAGCGGCTTTTGTCCCCGAGCTCGGAATAAAGAAATCCGGACTGGTCCGCTGGGCGCCGGGATGCCGCAGGTATGACGCCCTCCGGGGAGATGCTCCAAGGACTCCGCGCCGCATCGGGGCGCGTGGTGCAGGGGCTTTGGCGTGGGGAGGGAGCTTCCCGAGAGACTTCAGGGGAGCCGGTCTGCCCACTCCTTCTGCCCTTGCGTGTAGCCTCCACAGCTCGGAGGGCAAGGTTGGGAGCAAGAGGGGGCTTCTCAGCAGGGGCTGCAAAGACAGGCTTCCAGGCGGGGAAGGGAAAGGTCTGGCCAGGGAGTCCGCGCTCACAGGCAGGGTCCCCAGAGGACACCGGGTGGGACTGGGGTTCTGTGAGAGATGAGAGTTAAGGAGAAAAGATCGCAGGACAGTTTCTCCCCACATCCTAAAATCTCCTAACACCCCTGCCCCACAAGAAGTTTTTATTACTTTTTGTTTTAAAAACCTGACTTTGGGACTTCCGAGTAGCAGAGGGGTCTGCAAGGAGTATGCACAGCCCCACCGGGATTGCAGCCGCACCTGTCTGGGCCGCCAGCCTGGTCCCCTCTGACCTTTCAGCTCTTGGTTCTGCTCCTGACACCTGACAGGGGCAAAGGGTGAGGCTTGAGGGATCCAACGGAAGGTTCAGAGTAAGGGGGAAAAATCCAGGAAAAGTGGAGGAGAGGAGCTGGGGAGAGAGACAAGAATGGGCTGAACTTCACTGGTGACCAGCAGGACTTTAACCTTGGCGCCCCAAAGACAAACCCCAGATGTCTTGCCTTTGAGGAATAGGGCAGCAGGCTTTCCTGGGTGTCCCAGGAGTCTTGACTCTCTTTTCCAGGAACCTCGGTTGGATTTTCCATACTTCTCTGTCCGTGGCTTTCCGGACATTGCCAGTGCTCTCCAGACCCCAGACCCCCTTTTACATCCCAGCAACCCGGACTGATGCTTTCAGACCCTGTGAGGGACTGGGGCTAGGGGAAGAGAGCAGGGGACAGGGGGACTTCCTCTCATTCTTTGTCCCCAGCGGTACGGAAGACTACCCTCTCCCCTTTTCACTCCTCACCCCCCACCCGGCCCTGTCTTGTGGTGTGGCAGAGTCGTCTGGGTCAGGATTTTCCTCCCTTTCTTGCACTGACTGAGGAGGCTTGAATTCCTTGCAGTTCTAGGGTGTGTCACCCTACCTCTCCTGGGAACTCCGTGCTTACAGACATTATTGATCTCTTGCCTGGGGGATGTTGAAACTCTGAGTGTTTAAGCGATTTACCTCAGGACTTACAACAAGCCAAGGAAAGGGTTCTGCTCCAGGGTCCCCTTTCTAAGCCATTCGGTGGTTAGGCTGTGACTTTCACCCTGAAGCCCCTGCCTGGGGCCAAACCTTGGTAAATGCTGTGCCTTCCTTCTAGGGTCACTGCAGACTTGGCTGAGGGGACAGAAAGCCCAGTGAGGAGAGGGGAAGGTGGTGCTGGGCAGGCTCTGTGATTTTAGAGGGGTGTTTTGCCAGAAGGAGGGAGACTAGCTCATGGAGAGCAGATGGAGTGGTCTCCGATCACTCCCTCTTCGACAGTGTTCAGAATCACTTCCTTTAAGCAATAGAATGGGACCATTCCACAAGGACAAGGTTTAGTCTGTGAGGAGAGGGAATGGGGTTTGGAGCAGGACACTTTCCTTTTCTTCATCCTCCCCACACTCCTCACTTTGGTCTCTCAGAAAAAGGGCCAATGTTTCAGAGTCTTCAGTGGAAGGGAAATAAACTGAGGCAGTGCCCGATTGTCTCTATAGCAATTCAACTTTCCCTGAGTGAGTGGGTATGTGGTTGTTAATCATTTCTTTTCTCTCACCGGTTTCTTTATTTCCACTCCATTACCCAATGTTCACTCTGAGCAGGTGGCTAATGAGTCTGCTTAGGTTACAGGATGGTGTTTAATTTGTCCGGGTTCACTCACATACGTAGCCAACTATTTGTATGTCTTTTAAAGGTTTAGGATGGAGCTCAGGTACTGTACCCCAAGGATGCTGGCAGGGACGCTCTGACTCATTAAGGCACAGCTGAGTGTCAGCAAAGAGAGGAGAAATCTGCTTCCTAGACCTCGTCCTAGGGGAAAACCCATCAGCGTTGCTCAAGGCATCGCCCGGCCAAATGGAGATCACCATGGGAGTCACCATGGGTGAGAATGCCACCAACTTCCTTTCGGTGCTTGACCCCCACAGAACCCAAGCTGCTTCCTTCCCATTCAACTTCAGCTATGGCGACTATGATATGCCCTTGGATGAAGATGAAGACGTGACCAATTCTCAAACTTTCTTTGCTGCCAAGATCGTCATTGGTATGGCCCTGGTGGGCATCATGCTGGTCTGTGGAATTGGCAACTTCATCTTCATCATTGCCCTGGCCCGCTACAAGAAGCTGCGCAACCTCACCAACCTACTCATCGCCAACCTGGCCATCTCTGATTTCCTGGTGGCCATTGTCTGCTGCCCCTTTGAGATGGACTACTACGTGGTCCGCCAGCTCTCCTGGGAGCATGGCCATGTCCTGTGTGCCTCTGTCAACTACCTGCGTACTGTCTCTCTCTATGTTTCCACCAATGCTCTGCTGGCTATCGCCATCGACAGGTGAGTGAGGGGGCAGTGGGGACAATAAAGGAAGGGACATTGGAATTGTTCACTTCATTTGTGATTGATAAGAGATACCTGTATTTGACATGAATGTGGATGTGTAAGGGCTCAAAAGTTGGCTCCATCACTTGGACTTCTGGCTAAGATCAAGTGTAGTAACAAAAGTTAGCCCATTTACTGAACAGTGAGAAGAGTTCTAGATTTCCAGTTGTTGGCAGGCAGGAGGTAGCAGCATCCCCTTGAGTTAGGCAATGGGAAGGCTTTGGATCCTCTGCTAAGGACCTGCTCCTAGATGTTGTATCTGTTCAAGGTCTGGAGATAGACTGGTAAGAGGTATGGAGAGACGACCTTAAGTTAGGCAGGTACCTCTTGAGTCAACTAGGATGTCTTAATGGAGATTTCTATCTTATCGAGATTTCCTCTACTAAAACATGATCCCTTACCACTCCTCCCCCACCAGCTGATTTTTAAAATAAGATTAAGGGATTTGTTTTGAAACGAACAAAACAAAAAGGGAACATATGCTTACTCTTTTTAGTCATTGCATTAGTCAGTTTGCCCTTTTACAAATATTTGCAAGCAGCAGTATAGAACACCTGTTTCTAGGGATGGTAAATAAAATCAATAAGAGCAGCCTTTGCAAGTATTTCTGATGTTATGTTTCATCCTTTCATTTGGTATAATAATCACCTGTGCTAATGGCCAGGGTGATTTTCAGCTCCCTGGGGACAATCTGTGCCAGCCCCTCTGTTCAGAGTTGGGTTCGCAGTGCAAAGCACCTTGTTGTATGCAAGGTAGAGACAGTCACCTTGAGGGTAAAATCAGGCCTCCTTGTACTTGGATCTGAACAGCTAGTCTCTCTCCCTCAACCCAGAAAGCCTGAGGCACAGATGTTCTCCCTGTTCCAAGGCCTCAAGGCTCTGGCAGAGTTCAGCCTGCCCCTCACACTCAGGATGCCCCAAGACAATATCCTGGGGGCGGCACAGCAAATAGAGGCTGTTTTCGGGAGCCACAGGCAGGACAGTCAGGAACACGGTGACCTGGAAAGCACCTCTCCTGAGGTGCTTTTTGTCCATCTAGGCGTGGACCATGAGGAGTGGCCTTACAGAAGGAGCAGGAGGGGGACCGTCAAGCTGGGTATCTGCCCTCTAAGTCCCCTTCATAGTTGTCAAAAGAGAGCTCCAGGACCTCACTGTTGACCTTTTCTGACAGCAGAAGCTGCCACCATCTTTCTTAGGACAAAGCATACAGAGTCATTACCTGAAGTTTTATTCTAGCAAGACATTTTTCCACAAGGGGTGTTCTCAGCCACTCACAGTGGAGTAGGTAGGTGCCTGCTGTAGGGTGGGCCCCTGGTCTCTGGGTGAGTTCCATTCTATCCTGTGAGCTCCCTCTCATTCAAAGGTGTAACACTGTGGTAGGGAGTGGCTTCAGGGGGAGGAAAATAAGGATAAGTCAACAAGTATTGGGTTATTTTGAATGTAAGGGGTGAGATCTGTGCCAATGTACTGAATTCCTGCAAGCCCTTATCCTGCTTTCATACCAAACTCTGCTTGTCTGAAACACTGCAGGCATTTCTCCTGCAGTGCAAGACTATATGGTGTAACTTCAATGCAATAAGAAAGATCAGTGGGGAACCTGCGATGCATCACGGAGACTGCTGTTGTTCAGAGTGGGGTTATGAATGCACACTCGCACCCTGGCATCGGAGGAGAGCACTGTTGCCTGCACAGAGCCAGCCCATGGCCTTGGCCAGCTAACCAGCTGCTCCAGTGCATTAAGTTCCTTTACTGATATCTGTGAGCTTTGCTTCAAATTGTTTTATTTTTGTGTGTTCTTACCATCTAATTTCAATTTTGGGCTCTAGGATCTTATTGATTATCGTCTGGTCTTGTGTGTTGTTGAGGGTTTCATCAGTGATTTTCAGGTTTGATTTGTTTCGTTTTGAGCAACTAATTTTTATCTTGATATAACAGTATACCTATGGTTATAAAAATACTTTTTAAAAGAAAATTTCTGTAGGAAAATAATGTCAGCAGTTATTCTGCTTGGGTTTAAATTTCTGCTGTACCACCTATTAGCTATAGGGCTCTATCTTAGTTATTTGCCCTTACTCTCCCTCAGTTTTCTCATATATAAAAATGGAATAATAAGAAAACCTAATGTGCCCTGGCTGGTGTGGCTCAGTGTAGATTGAGTGCCGGCCTAGGAACCAGAGGGTTGCTGGTCTGATTCCCAATCAGGGCATATTCCTGGGCTGCAGGCCAGGTCCCCAGTTGGGAGCGCATGAGAGGCAACTACACATTGATGTTTCTCTTCCTCTCTGTCTTCCTCCCTTCTCCTCTCTCTAGAAATAAATAAATTTTTTAAAATTTTAAAAAAAAGAAAGCCTAATGTATTAAGTTGCTTCGAACATTAAATTAAATAATAGATTAAATAAATAAAAACAACAACAATAATGATCAATTGAACAATGTTTAAAACAGAGTAAACACTGCCCTGGTGGGTGTGGCTCAGTAGACTGAGTGCTGGCCTGCTAACAAAGGGTTGCTGGTTTGACTCCCAGTCTAGGACACATGCCTGGGTTGTGGGCCAGGGCCCCAGTAGGGGGCACGTGAGAGGCAACCACACATTGATGTTTCCCTCTCTTCCTTCTTTTCTCTAAAAATAAATAAATTAATTATTTTTAAAAGTCCTTCAAAAAAAGAGTGAACACTGAATAAACAGTAGATATTATAATTCTTGAATTAACCCTTAAAGGAATAATAACAACAACAACAAAAACAAAACAGGTAAACAAATGAATATTTCTGATTGGCTGACCTCTTTGTTTTTTATTGATTTCTTTAATGATGTGATTAAAAATAATAATAATATAAGGTTTCCGAGAAACAAAACTATCAAGATATGGCAGAACAGAACTATTACTCTTCCACCTGTCTGGACTCCTCTGTTTCTGTTACTGGTTTCATGGTTCTCCCAGGCATGGAAACTAGCAAGTCTCCTCCGTCCTGGCCGTGCTCTCCCTTTCTCTGGCATTCACTCCATTTCCAGGTCCTGCCAATACTCACCACTCCCTCCCCCTTGTTCACTCAGGGCTGGGCTATCATAGTCTCTTCTTGGCCTTCTGTGTTTCTTGGCTTTGCTCTCTGCCAACTGTAATTCCCTCGTCATCCACCCTAAACTTCATTCATTCATTCATTCATTCATTCATTCAAACAATGCATTTTCATGGAGCGGCTACACGTGAGAGATACTATTCCCAGCACTGGGGATATGATGGTGAATAAGAGAAACTCCTTGCTCTCGTGGAGCTTACATCCACTGGACGGAGAGCGCTGTCAGGCAAACAAACAAGAAAGGTAATGTCACAGTGTGAGAATACTCTGAACAAAAACAAACAAGAACAAATGCAAAAACACTGAGACTGAAGGTAGGAGCTACTAGGTGTGGAGTCAGGCAGGACAAGTGTCTCTGAAAAAAAGACATTTGAACCCACTTCTGAATGATGGAAAAGGAAAAAAAAAGCCAGCCTTGTGAAGATGGGGGGCGGGGGAAATGCATTCCAGTTAAAGGGTATTTTAAGTGCAAAGGCCCGAGACAGGAACAAACCTGATGGGTTCTAGGAACAGAGAGAAGGGCCCTGTGGCCTGAGGGAAAGCAAGCCTGTAGCCGAATTAATCTTCTGTCTTGTCTGTCTCCTCTCTCTGGCTCTAAAGACCTTCAATACCTCCATTGTTTATAACACATGCCTCAAACCCTTTCGCCCACTCTTGCAGCCTTTCATTATTGAGCTCCAGGCTGTCTCCCAGTCTCACACAGGGTAAACACATTTGTGCCTTGTTTTCCAAAAAAGGTTATAATCGTTTTGAAATTGTCACCAAGGCTGGCTACATTTCTATTTGCATAGTGCCAGGCACTGCTGAGAGTGAAGTTTCATGAAAATCCTAGGTGCCCAGAATTCACAGACAGCAAAAACTTATTAAAGAAGACGTGATCCCTGCTCTCAGGAGCTTAGCACCTAGAGTCGGGGGGAGAGGTGGGGAGTGAGCTAACATGTATGACACAGTTAACAGATAAAGTAAAGAATAAATTTTAAATGAAATTTAGAAAAGGGTGAGATCATCATGCACCTGACTAGTCAAAGGAAGCTTCGTGGAGGAGGGGGGCTTTTAACTGGCTTTCAGCATGTGATGATCAGCAAAGTAGAGGGAAGATTTTCCAAGAGGAACAGTGTTTGCAATAGCCTAGAAGTAGGAATGCTTGAGGTATGAGGTTCCTTGCAGAGGTACGTGGGAAGAGGCAAGGAACATGTGGAAAGTAGAGATCAGAAAGGATAGGGTCATAATCCAGAAGATCTCAACACTAGGTGCGGGGAGTCAGACCTGGTGGCAGCAGGAAATTGAAAAAGATCATCCGAGAACCCTGGTCCTCCACGCCTGGGTTTCTTCTTTGATTCTGAGACACCTGCACTGTCCTTGAGGTGTATCCTTAATATTCCAGAGCACATGGGGCTTTGGGGGAGCCTCCCTTCTTTTACTCCAAATCCAGAGGATTTGCCTGTCCATTGGCAGCAGTCTTCTGAGTGAGGCATGAGTAATCACACTCAGTCCTAAGTAGAACAAATGCTCCCCGTGAGCTAACTGGCTGCAGCTGATTGTCCCAGGCACAAGTTATGCAATCCCTGCCCATTCCATGACCAGCCTAGAAGCTGCTGCAACCTCTGCTTCCATGGTTTTACGTGGGGCTGGGTCCTAGAGACAGAGCAGGAGCGTGATGCTCTTTGTTTAATCGCCCAGCCCACTCTCATCACACAATTACTGCCTGGACATTTCTTTTCTACCAACCTTCATTCTTTGTTCTCTGGGAAATGTTTTCCTAAGTGGATCTGGACCTGAGCCATTGCAGTGGTGGACACACGGGGCAAGCCAAGGGCATACTCATAAGCAGAGAATAGTAGTGCCAGTTGCCCGACTCCTTCTTGAAACATCAATAGGTAGAGACCAACTGTGATGGAGAAAAAAGAGAAAGACTGTTAGGATGCCAGGAGGAGGTTGGAGGAAGGGTTTTTGCTTGCTCTTGTTGGAAAGGGCGGGGACAACTGGAATATTTGAGAGCCCACTATATTTGGAGCAAGGTGTGGATGGGTCTGCATCATAGTTCTGTCAATTTCTAGCTATGTGGCTTGCAGCAGGCTACGTAGCCTCTCCAGACCTCAGTCTGCTCCTCAGTAAAATGGGTGGGTGTCTTTGCTTTCTTACCCAACCTAATCAGAAAGTGGATTTGAAAATGTTCTGCAAATTGTGAGTTGCTTTACAAACATGAAAAAAGTATTAATACCACAGTTCCGAGTTTTGATCCTAGCATAGCCAAGGCTGATGGCAATCCTTAAAACAATTTCTGCAGTTTGCTTATTGGCAAATGTATTTGGAAGGCCTCTTGTTCAGTTCCTGGTGCTAAGCCTAGGGATGGACTTAAGGTGATGTCAGAGAAAGCCAAGATGAAATAACTATCTGATGGGTAGTCACAGATTACACTGAAGGTTTGTTTTGATGTGAAAATAAATAGAATCAATAAAATAGATCCAATAAAATAGAAAGTAGAAAACTTTAAAATGCAGTATTTGCCCAAAAATTGCTATGTACACAGAATAGCTCTGAAAAAAATACATTTTAGGATGCTAACAATTTTTTGTGTATTAATATCTTATTGTTGTTTACATGCAGTGTCTGATTGGAGCCTCACAGTATCTCTGTAAGGTTGGCGAGGCAGTGATATTCCCATGTTACGGGTGAGGAAATTGAGACCACGGGGCCAAGAAAAATGGCTCCAATTCACATAACAAGGAGGCAAAACTGGGATTAGATTCTTGGTCTTCCGACTCCTAGATCAGCATTTTCTTTGTTTGCTCATTGAAAAAAAAAACACTTCGACTTTGAAATATTACAAAGATTTTCATAAAGGAAGTTACAATTGGGCAAAAAAGGAATAGCACTAGATAGTGAAAATTCATCTACTAAACAAGTATGAACATGGTGACACTCTTTGACAAAGTAATCAACAGAACATGGTGGGGTAGATAGAGAGGGAGAAAGCCAGTGAGAGCCAAACACTAAATTCTTAGTTTTCGCCATGAGTCAGAGCAAGTTTGGCACCCTCACTGCAACAGGAACATCATGGCGTTTATGAAGGGCCCATACATACATGTGCACCGACAGAAGCGCGGCCAGCACCCTCCAGACTCTGCCATTCCACCCTCCCGCACTCAGAGATTGGCAAGAGCGCCAAGGGTTGTGGCTGGTGGACCCGGCCTAGCCAGCTTCATCTGTCCTCTGAGAGCTGTAAGACAGCAGGACCCTCACTCCAGTTAACTTTCCAAATGACACACTGTGGAGCTGGCTGCTTGGGTGGGGGGTTAGAGAAAGATACAGAAATGGCAAGAATATAATCAGAAGGGGAAAAATTAAGAATGAACCTTCTCTTCCTACCAAAAATCCCAAGAAAGATGGCCACCTCAAAGGGATTGGTTTCAAAGAAAGCAGCACTGGTTTGGCTCTCCTCATACCTCTGTCACATCTGCTCTTGGCTTTACCTGGAATAAGCTTTGGGCACAGGAGAATGTATTTATTTCCAGCATTGACTAGTCGTTCCCTCCCACTTCTCTTCTTATCTTTTTCTTTCTCCGACCTCTACCCCCTGCCAGACCAGAAAGTCTTCCAGGAAATCAAAGCTCCCTGCATAAGTATGTGCACTCTCCCTGGGAAGGGGGCTTTCATTCCGCATACACGACTCACGTCCCCAGAAAGCGCTGTCTCTGTGCTCCTGGACCTCTGTGGTAACAGCACTGCTTTTTTTTTTCTTTTCTTTTTTCTTTTTAACAAAAGCAGTATCTTTTACTACCTGGTGCTTTGTGGTTAAAAAAAATTATACATATTCTCAATTGATGTTCACATCAACCATGTGAAATAGGGTTAAATATTTTCTATCAAGGGTCCTATGATATATGACATTGAGAAAGTCACTCATCTCTCACCAGCCTGTATTTTTCCACCTGGAAAGGAAAATAAGTGATTGCATACTTTTCCTCCCTCTTTGCATGCAGAGCAATATTTTTTTAAATGTGGCATGAATACAAAACTTTGCCCACTGCTCCCACTAAAAAGGGCAAGTTCTCCCAACAAGTCTATGGAATTATCAGTCCCTTTTAGCTCTAAACTGCGGGGTAATTAGAATGAATGGTTCTGAAAACAGGAAGAAGCTGGGAATAATGCTAGGCTAGAAACTGAGGGGAGGCACTATTGCTGCATTTAATAATGATAGTTACCATTTATTGATCATATGCCATTTATTGAGTACATGCCAGGAATTGTGTATACATTAGTATATTCAGTCCTTAAAAACAAAAACTTTTGCAGATAAGAAAACTGAGATTGCAACAGCTAGTAGAGGGTGGAACTGGGGTTTGAATTCAAGTCTGCCTTTCTCAAAGGGCCATATACCATCGTGTTTTTCCTCTACACACACCATTCAGTTGCAAAAATATCATCATCCAGCACTTCCTTGTCACAGTGGTTGACCCGTTTGTGTTCCTGTCCTAGATATCTGGTCATCGTCCACCCCCTGAGACCCCGGATGAAGTACCAAACTGCCACTGGCTTGATTGCCTTGGTGTGGGTGGTGTCCATCCTCATCGCCATCCCTTCGGCCTACTTCACAACTGAAACGGTTCTCCTCATCGTCAAGAACCAGGAGAAGATCTTCTGCGGCCAGATCTGGCCGGTAGACCAACAGATCTACTACAAGTCCTACTTCCTCTTCATCTTCGGCATCGAGTTCGTGGGCCCCGTGGTCACCATGACCCTGTGCTACGCCCGGATCTCGCAGGAACTCTGGTTCAAGGCCGTCCCTGGTTTCCAGACAGAGCAGATCCGGAAGCGGCTGCGCTGCCGCCGGAAGACAGTCCTGGTGCTCATGTGCATCCTCATGGCCTACGTGCTGTGCTGGGCGCCCTTCTACGGCTTCACCATCGTGCGCGACTTCTTCCCCACCGTGTTTGTGAAGGAGAGGCACTACCTCACGGCCTTCTACATCGTGGAGTGCATTGCCATGAGCAACAGCATGATCAACACCCTGTGCTTCGTGACCGTCAAGAACAACACCATCAAGTACTTCAAGAGGATCATGCTGCTGCACTGGAAGTCTTCTTATAATGGGAGCAAGTCCAGTGCGGACCTTGATCTCAAAACCGTGGGGGTCCCCGCCACCGAAGAGGTGGACTGCATCAGGCTAAAATAACCCAGTGGACCTTTCAACGTTTAAACAGGACCTTTGGGACATTGACCAGTGTGCTTAGATACACGCTGTCAACCAAGAACTTTTGGTTTGCCTCGGAGGTCAGAGTAAATGGACAACTATGGGAATATTGTGTTCAAGGAGCTCAGATTTCCTGAAACTGGGGTGACTAGTTTTAGACATTCACTGAACATCTAATTTGTGCAAAGAGTAGGCACCGGTGAAACCTATATATGTTGATGATATGCAGCGGGCAAAAAGAACTAGGGATTAAACCAAGAAAAATGTCAGGGCATAGACAGCCTGGACTAAGGAGGCCCCAGAGGGGAGCCTGAGTAGGCATCTAGACTGCGGCACATGTGTTGTAAGGTGAGGGTCTTTCTGGACAATCTCAGCTACTCATCAGACTCTGATGTAACCCGTCTCTAGAACTGTTCTTAGGCTTCAGTTCACTCCTAGCATTTGTGGCGTTGGAGCAAGAATACAAAACAGTCTCCCAGTTCTTTTGTCAATCCTTCTCTTCTCATTCCTGGTCCTGATCTCACTGTGAGGAGCCTTACGTGCATGCACATGGACAACTCAGTATGCATGGCCAAGTTGTGTCCAAACCCTCTTCCCCCATACTGCCCCATGGCCACCCTGGCCACCTTCACGCCTAAGGCTGTGTCCATAGGTGGTGAATCTCATCGTTATGAAGATGAACCTGGGGAAGAAGCCACAGAGACTCCGGAAGCCATTTGTACAAGGAACTAAGGGGTTCTGGGTACATGGAGCAAGTCAGGATGAGATGGGCTCAGAATGGATATGTCCTCTTGGCTTAATACACTGCTCACCCTCAGTGGGAGGGGTACAGGGGCTCAGGTTCTCTGGGTCTGAGGGTATACTGCTCCCACCTCGCAGTTATTCTGACTCAGACCAGTTAGGCTTCTCTTCAAGTCCTTCTCTTGTCTTCATGCTTGTGAAGCATAGAATCTCTGAAAGTAGACACAACACCTCATGAATGAGGCTGTCAGCTGTTTTTTCATTCCCACCAGCTTTCACCCTTATTGGTACGATTTAAGGCCAAGATGCCTTTGTCACTGGTGTCTAGGTCCCATCATAGCCATTATTCCTTTGGCTTAAAACTTGATTCTCTTTTAAAATGGAGGTATTTGGGGAGGCATAACCTATCACATTTCCACTCCTCAGTGACATACAAGCTGGGGGAGGGGTAACCGTGAGATTCAGTGATGCTACAGACTTATGGAGACCTTGTCCCACTTTCTAATCACCTCCTTTGTTTGGTGTTTCTCATTTTGGAATTTGGAGTTTTTGAACCAGAAGATCTGATCCAGCCTTGGCTTTGTCACCTCTGTGACCCTGGGTAAAGCCTCTTGGAGGGGATGGAGATAACACCCATGATAGTTATCAAGGAGGTGGTTATAAAGAGCCAGTGAAATAATACGCAGGAAAACTCAACCACTCAGAATCAAAAGAATAGACTAATAACGCCGTGTGATGTGTCTGGAAAAGGAAAAGCTTGGCTTATGTATTTAGAAACCTCACAATCTTCCCTTTTCATTATCCTTTGGGTAAATTATTCCCTGTTACCTCTCAGCAGTGCTGCGGTAGCATGTTCTTAATAACAAGGTGGGACAACAGGCAGTGAAATTTGGTAGCAGGAGTGTAAAAGGAAATCATAGGTCTGCCTCCAGTCAGAAGATGAGCTCCGGGTTTTAGAAACATCCAAACCAAAAACACCTTTGAGATGATAAAAGCACTGACCATCTTCCCATGCTTGTTCCCCAGCCAGCATGCACCTGGGCAGTGTGGTATTTATTTCCCAGTCTGTCTTTGTTCTTGGGAGCATGCACAGCTATAGAACTGACTTGTCCTTTTCTCCTTAACTAATTCTAGAGCCACATATTTATAATGCTGTTTAAGCGACACCTGTATGGCGTTTCCCTCTCCAAATAGAGTCCACTCTTTATTTTTGGTAGCAAAGTTTATTTTTTTTCATAGTTATTTTATTTCCCTGGAAGACACATTTTAAAAATCTATTATTTTTCCATTCATCATCCAGCAGATTTACCCTACAGTTTAATCAGAATACTCTCAGAGAAAAAAAAAACTAATTAAAGTATTAGCCTAAATCCAACATGCTTTGGAAGGCAATTTTTTCTTTTTATATTGCATTATAAAATCAAAAAAGTTAGCTTTAATTTTTGTATGAAATTAAATTTTCATTTATATAGCATTCAAAATTATAGCTTATATGTCTATGACTTCTAAAATAAAATGACATACAATCTTTTTTGTTCTATAAAAATATTACAAACACATGCACATGATCAAAACAATGTTCTTGGTTGAGAAATTTCCCATGCACAGTAAGTTTTTTAAAAATTGACTATTTATTTCCAATATTATGATAACTGGGTGCCATCTGGTGTTCAATTTCTGCAACTACTAGCTTTACGAATTAAAAAATTGCTACTCAAACCCAGGTTCTAAAATCTGCATCTTGGAAAAATCTGTTGATGTTTACAGTGGCAAAATAAGATCATGAAAAGAATGTATGTGATACCAAAATTAGTATAAAAATAGTCACATGCTACTTAAATATGAAAAACAGACCTAATGATTTCCAACTGTAGATGCAGATTTTTGCCTCCCTTAACTTTTTTCAAAACCTCAAGGGCACACCTAGGTAGCTGAAATACACAGAAAGTCCCTGTACAGTCAACAGGCCTGTCAAAACTAGGACTGGAGGAGAGTGCTCTGGTTTATTCAAAATACCCATTTACTTACTGGAAGTGGTCAACGTAGGAAAGGTAATGCTTTCCCTCTTTTTGAAAATAGTAGATGAGCTCTTCTACCCATAAGCTCCATTACACCCAAAGAACAAACTGGCTTAAACATTTCATTCAATTCAGCACTACCAGTTTTCAGAGAAATACCTTATAAACAAGTCATTCTGCCTTAACAAACTGCACTGCAACTAGTGATCATTTTAATCTCCTTTCATAGGCCGCAGCCCAAACCCAAATTGTTGAACAAGCCTCAGAGAAGTTGGAATGTAAAATGTTGAGGTCGGTTTAGATGCCATCCACGTCTTCATCAACATCTCCCAAACGGGACTCCACCGTCATCTGCGGGGCCACATGACTGTTATTATTGACTGTAGCGCGCCCCAGAAGCTCGCTGCATGCCTTCGGACTTCTTGCATCATGTCATCTGCGTTGTATTTTAAAATTGCATCAGCTCTATTGTCCCGTTAGTCTCGTGGACTAACCCATGTTATATCTGACGTATTTATCCCAACCTTTTTTCTCTGTTTCCCGATGATCCGACACAACCTCTTTACGCCATCAAAACATATTGCTTCCAAGCAGCCATCTCCCGACATTTTGATTACTTGAGCGTAATCTTGCCCATCTTCTTCAAACACCAGTTCTTTTTTCAGATTCATTCTCCTTCTTACCCCTGCGTCTATTTCTCCCTCCTTTATCTTCATTCCTGGGCGCGGTGGTAAACACAGCCTCCCCGCAGCTCCGACTCCGACCTGGGCGGTGGCCTGTTCCGGCGGTGGCGGCAGCGGCTACTGCAGCGGCTTCTGCAGCGGGTTCTCCAACAGGAACTAGAGGCGACACGTCGAGAAAGTTTTTGACTAAAAGAAGGATAAAATGATATCATTTGTTGTTATTGTGTTCACCTTTTCCATTAGAAATGCTAAACCACAGATGGCTGTTTTAAATAGGAGCTTTTTAGATGGGACAGCCTAACCTCTTTTGGCTTTAAAATGTATCAATTTTTCACTCACTATCTGTAGTATTTCCAGCTTTTGTGTCTGCTTGTGATTTCAATTGTTGAATAAAAATGTTGCGGAGTGACCAAGTGAAATAAAAAAATCGTACATATATAATCATTCAACAGAGCGGTTTTGTAATTTCCAGCCCATCCTTTTCCTCATTACAATGTGAGGGTTCTCTGAACGAACAGTGAGTAAATGCTGAGTCCCAGGATCAGATGAACTGTGAGACGTGCTAACGCACGCTCACATTGCCCACGAACCTCTACTTTCCATCCTAAGGAGATTTAATTAATTTACATCTCTTCCTATAAGTCTTCTGTGGTAAAACCATTAATGCTCATTAGTATCTGAGAGCCAGGAGTTGAAAGCTGAGGACATATTTATGCCCGTCACAGAAGCTAAGGTTAAACCTTAGAACAGGCTTCACGTCCACATGTGCAAAGTGAAAGATGAACCTACGCCACCAGGCCTTGTTCATCTCAGCGGCCGATTCAGCTGAGCAGCAGGCCGCCGCCCAGTTGACGGCTTCTCCGAAAGCTGGCGGTAAGCCCAATAAGGTGACACTGGTGCTCACGTGTTTCTTTTCTGTCCTCTACATGCTCTCAATATGCAGAGAGCTATGCACATTGTCACGTGCAAAAGGGTAAAGATGTGACTTTGTAAAGTCAAATTATTTCCTTGACTGAAGCAAAAGAAAAAAGCAGATTGACAACGAAGCTTTTAGAAATTTTGCCTAACGCGTACAGAGTTAAAAATAATTTCTTAAATCAAAGACACTAAAGCATGGCAAGGTGGCAATCACCACAGCAAGCCCTGAAGTGTGAAGCCAGTTCCATCCTCACTGAGGAAAATAATGCTGAAGAATTTGTGAGGTGGCCAGGAAATTATAAATATGAGTTCTGTTCCTTGAAAAATGTAATAAATTTTGGAATGTATCCACGAAGAATGATCCAACTCTCTTTCCTAGAGTATAAGAATATCAAATTTAAGTAATTCATGCTATGGTTGATGAAACCGAAGGCCAGAATGGGGATGAGATGTTCAAGGTCACACATCTGGTTACTGCAAGAGCCAGGGTCAGACCCCCCGACTCCCATGGCTCAGTCTGGGGTTCTCGTACTGCCGCATGAGTGGGCGCAGGGAGCATCAATCTTGGGAAAGGAAAGACCCTTTCCAAGAAGCCTTAAGATGACTATTCAACTACCTTCTGGCCTCTCTGGAGACCCTTAAGGAATTTAGCAAAAACATTTCTGGTTCCTTTTCAAGCCAAGTTTAGCTCATCTTACCCCTGGGAACTCATAGCACAGACATGGAGACCAGGAGGTTTCAGGGAAGAACTGCTTTAAAAAAATGTTTAGCACAGCTCTTTCTTTACCTTGCCTAGTTGGGTATCTCCAG